TTTATTTTGTGTATAGGTCGAGTTTTGACCCCCTGAGCCGTTTTTCTGGTTCCGCCATTGCTTGCGGACCTATTTTCTTAGGTTAGATTTCAGTTTGCGGTTGCCACTTGCCAGGGGCGGATCCAAGATTTCATGTTGGGCTGGGCTGAAACACTTTAATATTATTACATTGAAAATTTTCATCATAAGAAAAATATCAAATATAAGAATTCTTCACTAAATTTGTCCTCGACGAGGCTTTGAAGCAAAAAACTCGTCAACAATAGAGTCTACATCTATACTAAGAGTAAGGTCTCTATCAATATAAAGCATCATGCAATCAGCAAGAAAGTCATCCGCCATCTTGTTGCGGAGTGTTGTCTTCAGAAGTTTCATGGCAGAAAATGATCGTTCTGCTGTTGCAGTAGAAACAGGTAGGATCAATACAAGGCGAATCAATCTGCTCATCATAACATATGAATCAGATCTTCTGCTCTTAGTCAACTCCTCACATAGTTCAACAAGTGTAGCTACTTGAAACTTGGTATCAGGAATCACATCATGAACATAGTGTTGCAGCTCGAATTCCAAAGCACGAATATCCTGACTACTAAAGTCTTCGGGATAGAACTTCCTTGCAAGAGTACAAATAGCATCAGCATTGAATGACTCATATGAATTTTTGGGATCCAATGAAGCACTCAAAGAAAGGAGTTCCATTGATTTGTCATTAAACCGGGTTCTTAACTCCACCAATACAAAGTCTATTGCCTCATTGAAAACATCAAAGTGATAATGATGCTCAACTGTAGTTTGCTTGCGGAAACGACCTACCATATATTTAGAATTCAACTCCGGTACATGAATTTCATGTTTTGAGCAAAACTCCTTTACTTCTTCTAGAAAGTCTTCCCACCCATTTTCTCTCAATTCCCCGAGAATGAGTTGGGTAGTAGAAACATGTCTCATAGCTAGCAAGATATCCAATGATTTTTTTTGAAGCCCTTGACATAGAATACTCGTTATTCCCATAACTTTGTGCATCAAAAGTAAACTGAACACAAATTCAAAACATGCAAAGTGTCTATATACACCATGAACTTCTGCCCGAGAACTCACTTTTAGGCAATGTTCTTGCAGATACCCAAGCACTTTGCATGTTGCTGTGAACATGTCAATCAGACTCTTAATTGAATCATAATGGGAACTCCAACGCGTTGCTCCAGCACGTTGCAAATTACCAATTTGATTGGCTCCGCTTCCAGATTCACGCTCACCTGTTTCCAACATACGTTCAACTTCTATTCTTTGAGCACTCTGTAGTTCACTAATTCGCTGAGAAGAAGAATTGACAATGTTGACAACATTGTCCAAATGAGAAAAAAACTCCCAAATAACGCTAACATCTTTGGCCGCGTACACGAGTACAAGTTGCAGTCTGTGAGCAAAGCAGTGAACATAATATGCACAAGGATAATCCCTAAGAAATAATGCTTGAAGCCCATTCCATGTCCCTCGCATGTTATTAGCACCATCATATCCCTGACCTCTCAATTTGCTAAGGTCAAGGTCAAATCTAACAAGAATATCATATATCTCGTTCTTTAAGTTCAATGACGTTGTACTAATAACACTTTTGATGGCAAAAAAGCGCTCAGTCATTACACCACAACTATTCACATACCTCAGAACGATGGTCATTTGCTCTCGATGAGATGCATCTCTTGCCTAATCTACAAGAATACAGAAGCACCCATTTCCGACATCTTCACGGATCATTTTTCGTACTCTGTTACCCATAATGTTCAAAATATCCTTTTGAACAGTTGGAGAAATGTATTGAGCATTCTTGGGAGCATTATGTAACACAACTTTGTCAACTTCTGTGTTCAACTGTGCAAAGGCTTTCAATAATTCAATAGAGTTGCCACGGTTCAAAGAAGATGAAGATTCATCGTGGCCTCTAAATGCACAACCTTGAAGTGCTAGCAACCGGAAGCCATAACAGAAGTCTTTAAATGCAAACGGGTTTTTTCCGTTTCCCCCTTTGTTTGTGCACGAATAATCGTTTCGATATGTTGAGAGGGTCTCATTAAATATTCAGCCATTTCCACACATTTCAAGTGTGGTGAAGATTTAGGAGACGTCCCAACGTGACTAAGAAAAGCACAATGAATTCCTTGGTTTACTCTCTTCCAATTGTCAAATCCCACCGTAGCCAACGCTGATATATTTTTTGTATGCACATCTTCCAGAAATAGGAAGCAATAGAAACAATATGTCTTTTCTTCTGAGGGTGAATATTCCAACCACTTAAATTGGTTAAACCATTGTTTTTGAAAACTACGACGTTGGTTTCCAAATTTAGTCTTTTTGTAGCTCAAAAGTGGTGGTTGATATGGGCCAGCTACCAGATATGCCCGCCTAATTTCATCTCGGGCGTCAACATGGAATTCAGAAATAGCTTTTCTTTTTCCAGGATCTCGCTCAATACAAGACGACCATTGGCATTCAGCAATAGAAGAGGGAGTTGTATTAGCATCAATTCCTGAAGATGGTGGTGTAGTTACACATTCAGAAATTGAAGATGGAGTAGTATTAGTTACAATTCCTGAAGATGACGGTGTAGCATCTGTAGATGGAATATGTATACTAGTACTTGGTATACTCTCACTGCTTGGATTATCTCTTTTTTTGAAGTAGCAGTGGACTGTTCTTTGAATGGGTTGCATCCTTAATTTCAAACCAAGAAAAAAAACAATGTATCCAATATAAAAAAAAGGAACGAAAGAGGAGAAAGATAAAAAGCTTAACCAATAAACCAAATTACCAATAATCCCCTCTAGTTAATTACTCAAACAAATAATCATTATATACGGCTATACCAACATATTACATATCTAAGTTAAACATTAATTTAGTTTTGAATCTTTGACTTAAAGACCTTATAACCTAACATACAGTTATACCAATTTCAGCAATTTCTTAAATCAAATACAAATGGTGTAATTAATTTATCAATTACCAACAAGTAAAATAGCAAAGCCCTAATGGCTCAAATAAATAATTAAAATCAGCAGCTCAATCACAATGGAAAGTATTACCTGGGCCCTGGTGGCTGGAGGCTAGAGAAGAGGGAGAGGCCGAGCGGAGTGCCGGAGTTACACAACTACAAGGAGTCCAGAATCGGAATGCTCATTGTTGCCTTGGCCTTGCCGCTTGGAGCTTGCGATATGGGGTGTCCTCACCGTGTCCAGGCGACATACGAAGGTAGGCATTAGGCAGATTGCAGAAGGTCTTGTATTGAATTTGGACTCTTAATTTTCTTTTTTTATTGAATTTGGGCTTTGGGTCTTCTATTTTTTAGCCTAGTGGACTGGGCTAAATTTTTTTATTGAGCCTAGTAGTACCATTCATGATAAGAATTTGGTTTTTATTGATTGGGCTAGAAAAATGAACTAGGTTATAGAAAATTTTGGGCTGGGCTCTAAAAAAATTTGGGCTGGGCTGGACAGAAATTTTTAAAAATAATACCTTAATTTTTTTTTTAGTTTGCCCTGGGCTTCAGCCTACCATAGCCCTAACATAGATCCCCCCTGCCACTTGCCATCTAACTAACTCCAAAGTATTGCACTTGAAAATATTAATCTTAACCGGGACTGGTATGCAATTTTTGGAATATCCACACAGATTGTTGAGTTGGGGTAAATCTCCAAAAATCTGAGAGGTCGATTTGGTAACACTGTTTTTTAGCTTATCAGGTTTATCGGTCAACTTTTTCACCAAACACGTATTTTTTGCTTTCGCGCGTTGAATTATGTGATAATCAGAAAAAGTAAGGTTGAAGTTACTTTTCTGACTGTATTGGTTGAAGTTACTGTAAATGACCATTCAACTATTTTTACATACATATTTTCTTTATTTTATTAATAAAATGTAGCATATTTTAAAAATAAGTTTTTCTTGAATCAGCAGAATCGATCAATGCAGTCTGTCAATGGGTCGAGTCCGGGCCGGAACGTAGTGTTCCAGACCCGGACCCACTAAGTTTATAAAGGACCCACACCCGACTCATATACATGGCGGGTCTGAAAGTTTGGACCCAGACTCAGACCCAACGGGTATCGGAACCGGGTCGGGTAGACCCACCAATTATGATATATACAACATTATAAACTTTGTGAAAATAACAAGACATGAAATATAAAGCACAGTGCACAAACTTTAAAGAAAAATATAGTTTCACTTTTCAAAAAAATTCAAGGTTTCTCATAGAAAATTAGTTCTTTTATCCAATAAAGTACCGGTTCTTGTAGAGAAGTATAACTCCGCATTCTGTGTCTCTTTCTCTTGCAGAGAAAACTCGTAGAATAGACTAGAAATTAAGTCACAAAAATGTCTCTTGGACTATTGAGAGTCCAAAAGCATATTATATATGATAATGATATAATAATTTTAATAATAATATTATTGGGTTTTACCTATCGAGCCCAATACACACTTTAATAGTATGCATAAACGGTCAAAATGGGTACTAGTTTTAGGGTATCTAACTATCTCGATCGATATCTCTTATACAATAGGTATGTATTAGTGTATATTTTTTAATTGAAAAATTACAAGTAATACGTTTTTGCTCCACTGATTTTGGTGGTTTGCCTAATGGGATAAAAAAAATTACAAGTAATACGTTTATGTATTAGTGTGTGTGTGTATTAGTTTGTATTTTTTATTCAAAGTATTATAACTAATCACTTTTTGTATAATACTTCATAAAGTGTGTGTACATATATACTAATAAGAAATTTTAAACGTGTTTGAATCCTTATCGGGTCGGAATCATATATACCATATCCGACCCGTTTATTAAAAACACTAACGAGTCCGGATTCGAATTTGAATAAACGGAATAAAATATAGAACAATACTTATTAAAAACAACCGGGTCTGGATCTAGACCCGATTCATTGACAGATCTAAATGCACTCACTTCCATCAAAACTTCTTAAATTTATGAATAATGGGGTTATTCCACCGATTTTAGTGTTACTGCCCAAAAGGCATCAATGCACGACAAAAAGCCGGACTATTTACGGCGCCAAGTCTTTCTCCTGGGCGACGACTATTTAAGAAATTGAATACCTTTTTATTGTTGATAACAAGACCAGCTGCCATGGATTTATTTCTCATTCTATCTCAAGTCCTTCGCTCAGAAGCCTGAGGTTCTACACCCCTGTTTCTGAATTTCAGAAAAATCATACCCCTCTAAGGTACGCACTCATATTGTGATTGGGAGATGGCGGGTTCGAAGCTACCATACTATATGATTCTGATGTAGAGTAGAACTGGCAGTGAATTCACCGATTGTTCTATTGCATTTTTCAAAAGTATGGTTTTCTGTGTTTTATTCAATCCGTGTTCTTGTTGAGTCTCATATACTCCGTACATTATTTTGTGTGGAGAAAGTCACATTTCTGGGGAATTCTTTGAAGTGTTTGGTGCGCTTAAATTTCCTCAACTTTCTGGAAAAAGTCACATTTCTGGTTATACTTTGATGGGTTTTCCTCAACTTTATCAATTTTAGTCCCCATTGTTGACGGACTGAAAGGGAGAGACTAGAATTGCCCCAATGTGTAATGTAGGATTGTGAACATTCTTCATACAAGCATGTTATTTTTTTCCAGTTTCAATGGGTCTAGATTTGTGGTTATTAAAAACCATTTGGAATTTATAATGCATAATAGATGAGAAAATGATCTAAAAATAGATATATACTCCGTATAATATTGTAATTGATTTACTAGACAAAACAGAGCAGTTATTAAACATTCTAACTCCTTATTTAAGTTGTATACCTTCTCAACTGTTTGTTTGTTTACCCATCTTCCATGTGTGGGTATAGGTTATGTTTCTTCTCATAATTGGATATGGATCATCGACTTAAAAGGTTGCCTGACTCCTATTTAAACAGACTTGAGCCGGAGAATGAGGTCATTTTTTCTACAGCTCAACCATCATTGGATATTCCAGACATCCACAAGGATGCGCCTTCAATCACACAATTTCCAAACCTTGGTACTTATTCTCCTACTCTAGACTCTGATCGTGTGCATAAGTACCTTAGCCAGTTTCTATTGGAGGAGGAGAGCATTGATGGGAACAATCCGCACATATATTTTGATCCCATTGCTCTCAGTGCTACTGAAAATTCCTTCTACGAAGCCTTGTGTGACAACCCTTCATCACCTTTTCACAGTAATGCTGGAAGCTCCAGGTATGACATTAAGCATATTGATCTCCATAACTCTGACAATCTGTCTACTGTTGATCCCAGAGAATCTGAATCATCTGTAGCCTGTAGGCATCGTGATACCCCCATTCAGTCATCAAGTCAGACTAACTCGGATGGGTTAAACAGTTCTTTATATACCTCTGATAGTGCACAGTTTTCTCAAATGGATGCTCTCTTAAGTGCTAATTCGGTTACTAAAATATTGTGTAATGATGATGCTGATCCCATCTTGCAATTCAAGAGAGGTGTAGATGATGCTAGTCGATTCCTGCATGCCAGTAAACAGTTGGTTATCAATTTGGATAAATACTTGATTTCTCAAGAGAGCGAAGAACTTCCCAGAGATGTTGTTTTCAAAATAAAAGACCATTCACCTGATCTGTATAGTGGAAAGAAGCATAACCATTTAGACAAAAGTGGGTCAGAAGAAGAAAGCAGAAGCAAGCACTGTGCGGTCTATAAGGAGGAGATTGAGTTATCAGAGGTGTTTGATAAGGTTTTGCTATGTACTGATGACAATGATTGTCTACCTCGAGTCAGCACACAACCGAAAAAGAAAAGTGGTCGCAAGAGACATTTAAAGAAGGGAAGAGATATTAGTGAAACTGTGGATCTGGAGTCTCTTTTAATCAGCTGCGCACAATCTGTTGCTGAAGCTAATTATAGGGCTGCAGGAGATAAATTAAAGAAGATCAGGCAGCACTCTTCACCTACCGGGGATGCAAATCAAAGGCTGGCTAATTTTTTCGCTAACGGTCTTGAGGCACGACTGACTGGAACTGGGACACATGTGTATGAGGCTTTAACTCCTAGCAACACCCTAGTTTTAGAGATGCTAAAATCCTACATGTCAGCTTGGCCATGGATGAAATTATCAATATTCTTTGCAAATAAAATGATTTACGAAGTAGCGTCAAACGGTGCATCACTCCACATTATAGATTTTGGTATTCTTCATGGTATCCAGTGGCCCACACTTATCCGGGATCTTTCAAAAAGACCCGGTGGCCCTCCAAAACTTCGAATAACTGGGATTGAGCTTCCCCAACCTGGTTTTCGTCCATCACAAATGGTGGAAGAGACTGGTCGTCGCTTGGCAAAATATTGCGAGCATTTCAATGTACCATTTGAGTACAATGCCATAACAAAAACAAATTGGGAGAGGATAACGATTGATGAATTGAAGCTTGTGAGCGGTGAGGTAATTGCGGTGAACTGTTTAGTTCGGTTTCATCACTTATTGGATGAGACAGAAATTGGTGTGGACAACCCTAGGGATGTTGTTTTAAACTTAATCCGGGAAGTAAATCCTCATTTATATGCGCAAACTGTGTGTAGTGGACCTCAAACCTCTCCTTTCTTTGTCACTCGGTTCCGAGAGGCAATTTTCTTCTACACCGCTATCTTTGATTTGATTGATGCTACTTTACCGCGCCATGACAATCGGAGATTGAGTTTGGAAACAGAATTTGTGGGACGTGAAATAATGAATATTGTAGCATGTGAAGGCAAGGAAAGATTGCAAAGGACTGAAACATGTAAGCAGTGGCAATCTCGCATCATGAGGGCTGGTTTCAAGCCCATGGCTGTAAACCCTACACTTGCGAAGAAGTTAAGATGTGAGGCAAGGGAAGGATATCACAAAGATTTTCTGTTTCTGGAAGAGGGCAATTGGATAATGCAGGGATGGAAAGGTCGGATTATTGGCGGCAGCTCTTGCTGGGTTCCTGCATGAGACTACAAACCTTGATAGTAAGTACGTTAAATATGTGAAACTAACGTTTCTCCATATGGGAAACATTACAGTAACCATTCAGGCAATTCTGCAGTTCATTTTTCGTGAGTTCTTTTGTTTCCATGTCAGTACATCACCACTCTCGTCTCTCAAGTTATTTTGAAAATTTAATACTGTAAACTGTCATCAAGAAAAGGTGTTTTGTACTGTCGGAATGTCTGCCGCAGTTCTCTAGTTTTGGATTTTCTTTTATTAGAAAAATAGAAAATGACATATCATGTTCGCCTAGCAGTCAACCTGCAGACTTCTTTTTTTTTGAAAGGCTTATAGTCATAGGATCATTTGAAACTGCAATATCTTTAACTTGGCTGTACTCATCGATTGAAGACTCCTGGATAAACGTGGGCATGTGCAGCAATGCATGAAATCATGAATATTTTGTATTGAGCCTAGTAGTGCGTTGACCTATTAATTAAAGTAACACTCCATTGGCTGTTTAGATTCACTAATCTATTGCTCTATATATTCAAATTGAGTAATGAAATGTTGATCTGTCACTTTTTATTGACTTCTAGAAATAACTGTTAACATTACTTTCATGATCATTGTTTTGTTGTAGGGAGAATGATGCATATAATTTTATTATCAAAAGCCCTATAGATAGGGAGATATCATGGAGATGGCCCCATGGCCCCATAATACATAGTCTATATAGAATAATCCTAATACATATTCTACATATCCTTTAACACCCCTCCCCCTCTTGTGTTGAGTTGTAGATAGAATTTGATATCAATCTTGTTGCCTCGTCAAAACCTCGTCAAGTAACAAAAAATCATGTGAGAAAAATAACCATGACTAGAGGAAAAAGAGTACAACATTGTGATAAACTTTTTTCATTAAGTGTATTCTTATGTGATCATTGCTTCGTTACCTCATTAAACACCTTACCAAGTAACAAAACTCAGTATGAAAAATAAAAACTTGGTTAAAGGAAAAGAGTGTCATTTAGTGTATGTGAGGAGACTCCCCCTCATGTTTACACTTATCATTAATATTTACGTTTATGAAGGATATTTGAAAAACCTATACATTCCAATACTTTTTACATCAATTACTATAACGAAGGCACATAATAGAGGAATATGTTTCCTCTAATTCTCCCCATGTGTGCCAAGTGTAAGGTGGTAAGTGTAAAAGTTATTAACTTGCTAAAAACTTTGCCAATGAACAAAACTCAATGAGAAAAATAAACATTGGTCAAAAGAATAAAATAAGCATGATGCACTAATAATCATACGTCAATTACTTGTGGCTATGATATACTCCGTAGTAACTAGTAACTACTACGTATGTTCTTTCTTCAATATTGTTTTCTTTTGCAAAATTAAAATTTGGGATGACACATATTATGTTGTCTCATAAAAAACCTTGCCAAGTAACAAAACTCAATGGAAAAAAATAAACCTTAGTCAAAAGGGAAAAAGAAGTACAATGCACCGAGACTCCCCCTAAGTGCAACACATTATTAAGAATCCAACATTCACTTGATATTTAATTTTATCAAAGTATTCTGTATATAGCATTATGATTTCTTTCATGATCAATATGTACTCATTTAAGAAAATACCAATGAGTTCAGAGGATATCCATAATCGGCGAAACTCAAATCACGTTAGTTTGTGTTAGAGTGATACTTTTGACATTTCCGATTTCTTTAGAAAGAATATTATCATCAATTACTTACTCCTAATTCAATTTACAAGGGATAAATAAAGATTATGCCAATGATTTCATATACTCCTTATGTCCCTTAAAATTTTGCCAACATTCCCTTTTTGATTGTCCTACTAACTTTGCCACTTTTCTTTTTAAGTAAAGAATTTTTGGTTCGAGTGAATTCTCTCTTCTCTACACAAACCTCAACCACACAGTTTTTACTTTATTAATCTTCGTGCCGGTCAAATTTGACCAAGTTTTAAAGGACGGAGGGAGTAAATATCAAAGCGCATTCGTGATATCCTTCCAATGACGGTGTACGTTGTGTTGGTCATGAGCTATTCTCAGCTAATACGTTCTTGAGAATGTAATATTTGGTCAAGTGTGTTTGTCAAAATAAAATAATGCGCCTATTGCACTTACATAGGGAATTCCTTCTCCTAATAACTTTTCAATAATGGATCTTTTCTTATATCAATATTTCGACAGATCATGGAAATGCTAACAGTTTGCATTTTATCCATGTTAATTTGCTTGAAAATCTTTTTAGATATATGCACCTGGTGAATTAGTTTCAACCAACTCAGTGTTTAATTTCAAAATAAACTCGAGTTTCTCAAGATTCTTTATCTAAGATTTTTTATATTTCTTTATGATTACATATTATGTCTATATCTTCGACATTCAGTGATACTTGAAAATTTGGAGCTTGTTTCATTTATAAATGTACAAGGAATTCACTACTAGAAAAATGTCTTACAGCGACACTAAATTAGTGTCACTAACAAACTTCTGTGACACTAAAAAAGTGTCGCTGAAGGTGGGGAGTGTCACTAAAAGTGTCACAAAATTGTGACACTGGTATCACAAAGTGTTATGACACTATGGTATCACAAAGTTATGTGACACTCTAGTATCATGAAATTATGAAAACATACACATAATATATCGATTTAATATATATATATATATATATATATATATATATATATATATATATATATTAATATATATATATATTAATATATATATATATATATTAATATATATATATATTAGTATATATATACATATATAATTTAATACTAATAAGTAACCAAAATTTGAAACATTTTTATTTATATATCAAATTCTCACATAAATGTGAATGTACATACTACATAATTTGTAGGGGCATACCCCGAAACAATAATAAGTAATAAAAAATAACAAAAAGCTAACTAGTCTAACCGGAAGGATGAAATGGCTCTAGAAATGTATATGGAATATATATTATTGTAGTTAATGAACTCTTTTCAGGAGATTATTTAGCTTGAAAACAGAGTAATGAATCCTCCAAGAAGCATAACTTGGACTATGAATATCGAGGGGAGCGGATGACATAATGTGTTGGTGGCCTATTATCGAGAAGCATTACTCAATCCCTGCAATATTGTTCCAACGGAAGCAAAAAAAGAAGAATAACAACATCAATAATAATGATAAATGTAAGCAAAAAATGAAACATTTGACTTACTGAAATTGGTTTTAAACTACTTTTACGAAAGGCAAAAATTGACAGATAGGCAGACAGGTACACTATTACTTATATAGTCCCACACACCTCGTCGTCTTCTAAGTTTAATTAAGTAGCTACATTGTTTTATTCAAAGTCTCAACCAATAGAGTCCATGAGTAGATCTTTCAACTTCCTAGTCTGTTTTAACGAGCAGTCTGTTTGATGTTATTCAACATTTTTAATCCAACAATGAGAAAACGCAACCTTTCTCAAACAGCCAATCTAATAGAAACACAATAAACAAATAATTGAGAACAAAGCAGGGGAGGAGCGGAGGATTCTAATTGTTTGCGGGTAACACTTTAGGCGTAATAAAGAGTATAAGTACCTCAATTTATTCAAATGGTTGTAAGTAGTAAGAAACATATATATTGGCTAATCAAGGAATAAATACTCTTCGAGGAACCAATAGCTTGCACAATTTGAAAAAAAAGCAGTCACTCAAAGCATGAGAAGTATTGCAAGCAATGGAAGAAGTAAAAGAGACAACTTCAATTGTGGTATCCATGAAAATAAATGGCAATATTAACAAGTATAGCATACACTCTCGTGGTTCTCAACAGTTGCATGATTTTCATTGCGCAAAGCCTCAATTCTTTCAACTTGATCCTCTAGTTGTTTCCTCAATTCCTAAAAACATCCGCATAAGTTAATATAATACTGTTGTACAGAATAAAAGAAATGTACTTGGTAAGCATCAGAGATTGCAACCCAAATATTTGTAATCGTGTACCGTGTTTGACCGTTGAAGGCTACGGAAATCATCCAGAGAAATTAGACCTTCAGGAGTACCAATGCCTATTCCCTTAAGTCTCTTGTTGTCACAGCCAAATTCATCTTCACAGGGAGCACATAAGCACATATTAGTCAATAGCAAAAATCTACTACATAGCAAGAATACAAGTGCTACATACATCTATTTCTCGTGGTGAAGGATTCAAGATATCACTCTTTACCAGCAAAAAATGGCATCAGCACCAAGCAAAATGAAGATAAAAAATACCTGCTGCATCGGCTGATGAACTAGTCTTGAAAACCTCTCGAAATACAAAGGCAAATGCAAGTTCTGTCACCATGTAAGGAGAAGTTTAAATTAAACTTCTCCCGTGATACTACATATAGATATATGGAGTAAAGATATAATACTTGGTAAATATAAGAACACCTCAAGAATTCATAGACGATAAAAAAATGTTTTTTAAACTACATCCAAGGAACTATATAAACAGAAGGATAGCTAATACAAGTACTCAGTTAAAAACACAAAGTAGAATCTCCATGCACACCACACTAAAAAAAGATCACAATAGCTTGGACTATCAAAAGTTGACAGTTGCAGAGTTTGATAAATAGATGTATGAAACAAGACATCAACAACAACAAAGAATGCACATTTTTAGCAATTTAGTGTGCATTTCATATTTCACTTAAACCTAGACTTTACAAGATAGATTTCAAACATGCAGAAAGATTATCCAACCTAGTATCTTTCAGAACAATAGAAGTCCCATGCTCTGAGTCTTCATTAGCGACTGTCTTTCTATAGATCTTGCAATGTGTGGCACTAACAGTTGGGGATAAAACCTGGAAACGAGCATCTCCTACCAAACGGCCAATGCAGTGTTCTCTAGATGTCAAAAGTATATTTATTCCTTGAACGGAAAGTACAAAGGCCAAGTAATAAACTATCAATGTGTACTCTAAAAACCAAAGCACTACTCGACAGTCAATAATCTTGAGAACTTTCTTGATAAAGGTCCATGGCTATGCCAATGCCAATTTAGGTAACAGGATGAACATCACTTTTACAATGACATAAGTAGATTAGAGAAACTCGGCTAGAGAACTCCCATAAACCTTCAACAATATTAAATGAAAAAAGAAAATTGGATTAAATTCACCAACCTAGTTACGCTTGCGAGCCTTAGAAAATTTCAAGTAAAAGAGGGCATCACTCCCGTAATGCAACATGATTAGAAAATGTAGATTACGACACTCATTAAATATTCTCAAGTAAGCATTGTAGAATATGGAAATAGTAAGATAAAGAATCTTTTGGTTTCATTTCATAAAATAACACATCATGAAACATCAGTTCTTAACCAAATTGATTATTACTGTAAGAGAGGGGGATTAGTAAATGGCATTATTAGTAAATAATACCTTCATATCAGTCAATACTTGAGAAAGTTGTAGCTTTGCATTCAAGTAAGCATTACAACAAATAGCATCGGTAAACACAAGACCACCAATTATGTCCTTTTTGGCTGCATTTTTTAGAGTAAAAAGAAAAAAAGTAACAAGTTAGTATTTCATTGTTCATGTCTTAATCTCTGAGATTAGGCAGATAGGAATTCTTACTAACAACTTACAGTTAAAATTTTGTTTAATAGATAAGAATCATAAGACAGTAGTAAGCATATAAACACGAATTGATATACATAATAAATTGAATCATTAACATGTTTCTTACCAATTTCCCAGTCTCAGGAACCACTCAGGTAGCTGATTCCAGATCAACATAGTTTGATGGCTTTCCAATTGAACTCAGAAACTTATCAAGACCACTTGTGTTAATAGCAATGGTCATGTCATTAGATAGTGGGCGGAAGAAGCATCGCTCCTTTATTCTTAGCCCTTGGTCTAATAATAAAGAGACACCCCTTGTAGATTCATTATAAAGCGTGAATGGAGTAACACAACCAAGGGGTACCTGAAGTATCCCTGTCAGTGAATCTTCTGGGGCCATCCTCAAGCCTCCTTTTCCCAATCCGAGCCTCTGAGCTAGAATTTTTAACTCTATTCTGGTGTCTGTCAATGCAGAAACAATATAAAATCTATGCTTCTTGTCCTTCAAGAACAGATTTTTACTCAGTGCACCATTCAAATGTCCAACATATTTTTCCTGAGCTTCTACAGTCAATACAACAGGGTGCTCATATAGCTCAACATGTTGTATATCTTTTGAAAGCCCTTCTTCAAGAAAGGAGATGCCACTGCAAATGGTTTCTTCATTTCTGTCTTTTTCATCCAAACCTAAAATATGCCACTTACAATATGGAAACATACATAATAGTTAGGAAACCAAATACGTGAACAAATTTGAGCATTAAACTAGAGAAAATCTATCTTCATCTGGCAGGGTACTCTGGCTTATAGTGAAAACCTAACATTTCATCACAATACCTGCTCAGCACCCATACTACTTCTGTAAACTGCTAATTAGAAACACAACATCTTCTACTCCTCATTTAGTACATAGGTTTAAAGCTAGGGTACTACGTTCTAAAAAAAATAGATTAGGTTTCAAAGTATTCTGACTTTTAGGTTACAAAATTAAGAATTAAAATTTAAGGATGAGAAAATAGAGGTTCTAGATAGAGAGCCATTGCCTACCAGCTAGCGCCTCGAATCGTCAGCTGGGAATCCAAATAGAAGGAAAGGACTTATCGACTTAATCCGTCCGTAGCTAGGGCTATGGCGAGGCGTAGGTCCTAAGGAGCGTTCTCCGGGTGGTGACGTAGTCCAGCCTTCCAGATGGCAACGAAGTCTAGCCTTCCAGGTGGCCCAGTGGTGCGTCTGGCGAGTGGCGATGGCGTCCAAGAACCCAAGCGGACCAGTGAGAGGCGGTGTTGGGGTCATGGCGGCGACAAAAGAGCGTACAGAATATTAGTTGAATAACGAGGGAAGAGAGAGGTTACGGGAGAAGGTTTTCGTAGAAATGGAAGGTTAGGTTTATGGTTTTTTATCCCAAATTAAATACTCCCTAATAAATTGTGGTGAAGTGTCACTGGTATATGTTAGATGCAATACTATTAATAATCATCGATGTATAAGTGTCACAAATGTATTCGTGACATTATAGTGTCAGTAAACAAGTGTCACTGTAAGCTGTTTAATTAAGTTATATAAGTAAACATGACTTAATGGCTAAATGGTTAAGATGACATTACCATTAATTAAGTCCATTAAGTCAGAAGTAAACATCCCTTAGTCTGACTTGATGACTGAATGGAGGTATCACGATGCCTATAGGCTACAGATGATTCAAATTCTCTGGGATCAACAATAGATAGAATGGCATAGTTACGGAGATCAGTATGCTCAACCTCATACCTGGAGCTTCCAGCATTACTAGATTGAGAAGGGATAAAAAAGGATAGATTGTTGGAAGCTCCAACAATCTAGTAATGCTGGAAGCTCCAGGTATGAGGTTGAGCATACTGATCTCCGTAACTATGCCATTCTATCTATTGTTGATCCCGGAGAATTTGAATCATCTGTAGCCTATAGGCATCGTGATACCTCCATTCAGTCATCAAGTCAGACTAAGGGATGTTTACTTCTGACTTAATGGACTTAATTAATGGTAATGCCATCTTAACCATTTAGCCATTAAGTCATGTTTACTTATATAACTTAATTAAATTGACTTTATCATTAACCCGGAGAATAACGGTCCTTGCCATTAAGACGTCTATTAGGACGTTTTTTTCTGTCAATTTTTCAAATTGATTGTTGAATAGTTTTATATTAACAAATGAAGTTTTGCATTGACATTAAAATCTAAGAATAATACAACTATGATTATTTTACTCGATTCAGACTGTTTATTCAACATACAAAATAAACAACCTCATATAAAAATGTCACTTAATCCAGACAAACATTTAACCCAGACAGATGTCTTAATCCAAACATGTTTTAATAGAAAAAAGGTAAACAACCCCTAACTCGGATGGGTTAAGCAGTTCTTTATATACCTTTGATAGTGCAATGTTTTCTTAAATAGATGCTTCCCTAAGTGCTAATTCGGTTACTAAAACATTTTGCAATGATGATGCTGAGCCCATCTTGCAACTCAGGAGAGGTGTAGATGATGCTAGTTGATTCCTTCATGCCAATAAACACTTGGTTATCAATTTGGACAAATACTTGATTTCTCAAGAGAGCGAAGAATTTCCCAGAGGTTTGTTTTCAAAATAGTTGAAAGAAGCATTACCATTTAGACAAAAGTGGGTCAGAAGAAGAAAGCAGAAGCAAGCATTGTGCGGTCTATAAGGAGGAGATTGAGTTATGGGAGGTGTTTGATAAGGTTTTGCTATGTACCGATGATCATGATTGTCTACCTGGAGTCGGCAAGCCGTGCGTGGCACTTTTTCAGCGTTTTTTGCTCTGGACGCACCGGAAACACGCACGTCGTGCGCCCATGCGTGGCACCGTGCATGCGCTCCAGGTGTCCTTTTTCGGCTAGAATTGCTCCTTTTTCTATTTAAACTGCCTGTAAACCTCTGTTTTTGGTAACAGAGCTTATATAGAGACCTAGGATGAAACTTTGAGTACTTTTTCGCTTTGTTATTCAAGACCCTGGGATTATTTGTAAGTTCCAACTTTTTAATTAATAATTATAATTAATTCTTTTCATCCTAATTCTGTTGATGCCTCAATTACGAATTGTGAGTAGTTTTAATTAGGGATTTGAGACTCATGAAGGGGCGGCTCCTATATGGTACATCCTGGTGTACATACACCTGGCCCAAGTAAGGAAGACAACCCAATAGCTGATACAGGCCGAAAAGAATTCGGTGGCATTTTTCTAATTTAAGCTAAAAATCACGACTTCCGCTAAATGAGCAATAATGTATTTTTAATGAGCACCGGACCTATTTTATTGAGTATTTAAGAGACTAACAATGATTATCACGACCCCTGCTTCATATCTTCTAATTCTTTTTTCTTTTTCTTATTTTTTCTTTTATAAAAACTTATTAAATTATATCTATAATATCTATAATACACTCCTATTAATTTCAATATGCGAGTCTAATTTAATATGACACTTTTGGAATATGCATTGATATAACAATTAAAAAATGAGCATAACATCAGTACGAAATGAGCATACATAACTTACAAAGTGCACATTAATTTGAAAAACGTAAGGTTTGTTAGTTGAACATCACGACATTTTAATTGAGCATCAAACCTCCGTTATTGGCATGAAAATCACGATTTCTTGTGAATGAGCATTAATAAATTTTTAATAAGCAATAAACCTATTATGTTGAGTATTAGGAGTCTAATATTCAGAATCATGATCTCTGCTTCATAACTTCTATAAAAACTTATTACATTATTTTATAATCAACTCCTATGAATTTCAATATGTGAATCTAATGTAGAATAGTATTTTTAAAAATGCATTGATATGACATTTACAAAATGAGCACAAGATCAGTACCAGATGAGTATACGTAACTTGCAAAATGCGCATTAATATGAAAATCGTAAGGTTTGTTAGTTGAATATCACGAAATATACATTGAGAATCAAACCTCATCGATTGAGATCGATGGAAATCACGATTTCTGTTACATGCACATTAATGAATTTTTAATGAGAAACAGGCCTATACAAATTAGCATATGTAACTTACAAGATGAGCATTGATATGAAAATTGTAAGTTTTGTTCGTTGAGCATCAAGATATTTTCAGTGAGCATCAAACCTCTGTTATTGAGTATAAGAATCGTGCGATTCAGTATAATGATTTGTGGTCTCGTGTCTATAATCAACTTTTATGTGAATCTAATGTAATATGAGATTTTTGAAATATGCATTGATATAACATTTTAAAATGAGCATAACATTTTGTATGACATAAATAAAAAACTTCAGTTGGAAGTTTGATTAGAGAAAGAAAAAAAAATAGTTGGGACATTTACTAATATAACATTAAAGTAGAAGGTTGTTAAAAACAAATAAAAAACCAAAAAAAAGAAAGGAAAACAAACAATAAAAAACAAAAAATAAAGGAGAATAAAAAAAATTAAAAAGAAAGGAGAAATGTACGAAACAAACTAACAATTGAATAGCAAGTATCAAAGATCGATCAGCCAAGTAGCCAACTCACGTAGAAGTGGATCAGGGAGTCAGGGAGTACGCATGCGGAGCAAAAAACTGGAAACTCAGCCTATTTATTATCCTTAAAGTTATTACTAATTACAAAATTACCGGGTGTACATGTACACCCGGATGTACCATATAATTATGATCTATGATTAATTTCTTGATGGTTTAATTGCATGACTTTATTTAATTTGTGTTTGAATGATATAATTGATATCTCTTGTAACCTAGAACTGCAACTAGGATTATAATTGCACATAGAATAAATTGAGAGATCTAATTTATTCTAGGACACTTTCACACACACTTAATCGTTCGCTAAGAGATTAGTAACTGTTAAGGGGGCGTACACTCGCTCGTTTTGGCAATAATTTAGTATCTTGTCGCATGAGAGATTAGACTGGTTCCCTAAATTATTGTACTCTAAGCCGTGAGAGTGGTAAGAACTTAGTATTGATCAGCGTTGTTAAATTAAATAATTTTCATGTGATTAAGTCTTATCAGCTAGAAATGTGAATATCCCAGAATCAATCCCTGTTTCCTATCGTCATTAGTTAGAAAGAACCCATTTATTTTAATCATTTATTTGCAATTTAATTTTCCAACAAATTAAATCTCGCACAATTGCATTTTATTTATTTATTTATTTTAATCGCTGAATTTAGTTAATTCCTGATTCCGTCCCTCATTCCCTAATTCCTTATTTATACAAATCCTTATTCATGTAACGGAAACCGTTACAAATATCCGCTATCATTGCACCACACTTATGAGACATTATTATTGATTAATTCAAAATAATTCCAAATAATGTTACGTTCTCCTACTTGGTGCAATAGCTAACCTTAAGAAACAAAAGACATGAACCACAGTGCTACATCCTCTTAGCTCGAGTAGTACCACTAATGATCACAATGCATCTTGCCCCTTAAGTTATGGCAATATAACTTAATGAATAAACCTAATGTTTATTAGTGGTCCAAAGTAATAGTACATTTTCTCAACATAATGGAATGTGCACATCTTAATGAGAAAAATATCTTAATGCATAAGAATTTCATAAATAACTGAATGTATTGATACAAATTGGAACAAAGTCCCATATTCGGCACATGATCCTTGAATTTGAATGGTGGCATGC